GTGTGTGTGTGTGTGTGTGCGTGCGTGTGCGTGCGCGTGTGCACTACCAGACAAGCACAACACAGACAGTTGGCAAAGAACATTCCATGGGCGTAGATGTGTTGCAGGAAATCCCACTCCCATTCCCAAAGGACCTAAATAGAAACACATCAAAAATAAATGCAAAAAAGAAAAAAAGAGACACTAAATTGGGGAACAAATGATATTTTCTGTAAAAACCCAGTGCTGAAGAGGATAAAAACTATTAAAGTTAAAGAAAGCAGAACAGAAATTAACATTTACAAAACAAAATACCTAAAAGCTAAAATTAGCAACACCATATACAGAAGTACAACAGAGTATTAGGGTCACACTATGAGATTTTTCTTTTTTAATTGCGAGAATAAAGTCATAATATTAAAGTCGTAATATTACAAGAAAAATGTTGCATGAGAATAAAGTTGTAATATTATGAGAATATGTGAAATAGTGCTTTGGTATGGGTTAGAAGAAATACTTAATATTTTAGCACGTTAGCATCAAATTRGCAGGACTTTGAAACGATTGTGCAAATGACTATTATAACTGAAGTCATATAGCAATTAATGGCTGCACTGACAGATTTACATCACATAATTTGGTTGAAGGCATTTTTACACTAACAGTGACCCAAAAGTCATTGCAGACTATTTCATAAACACACATGGCTGTCCACAGCAGGTGGGAGAAAAATGATGAGGAAAAAGTCATGAATAATTGACATCATGGAAGATTATGACTTTTTTCTCATAATATTATGACATTTCTTTCATAATGATATAACTTTAATCTCATAATGTTATGACTTTATTCTCATCATTACATTTTTTTAAATCTTGTGTGGTCCTAATGTTCCGTTGTACAAAGTTACAAAGCTGTTTTTAGAAACTAAAATGAACAAAACTGTAAAAACAGTAGTCTCAAGCAAAAAAAATTGTAAAAACTTTAAGCCTTAATTAGAAAATGATGCTAAAATTAGTAAAAGAGTAATAATAATAATAATAATAATAATAATAATAATAATAATAACAATAATAATAATAACTTTATT